GTAACCCTTCTGGCCGCAATTGGCGCAGCGGCTCTTCTTCCGAAAATCCTTCTCGCCGACCCTTCGGAACCCTGGTCTGGGGGCCTTCCGCTTGTCAAAGAAGTCCCTGTCTGTCTTTTTCGCCAGCTTCAGCCTCCTGGATTCTGTCCAAGTACGCCTTCGTTCTTTCCCGAACTTCTCCTCCAGGACAGCTCCGAAAACTTCGAGCGTCTCGAACTCATCAAGATCTTGATTATCAACGGCAGCCAAGAATGTTTCGGCATCGTGCTCGGGAAGCTCGATATCATCATCATCATCTGGATCCTCAGGTTCCTGCGATGCTCTCCCCGGCCTCGAGAGGGAGTCGCTGTCCCCCACGAAGGCCTTCGCCACCTGGAGCGGCACCGAGGGAAGGATCAGCTTCTCCGTCACATCCAACTGGAGGAGGGCACCCCGAATAGAGGCTGCGTCCAGCTTTCCACCTGCCAACGTTCTCATGTTGATCTTGTTCTGGGGCGTTAGGTTGGCCCCCTCCTCCAAGTAGCGTGCACGAACATTATCTGGAAGCGCCAGTCCTCTTGCCTCTGCCTCTGCCAATTGGGCGTCTCGGCGCAGCACGTAGTCCGTGAGCGACTCGCCACGTCGTATCATGTAGTCGAACAACGCCTGCGAGTGGGCGACCCTGTCACGATCGCCAGGGCGTTCCCCGTTGAGAACGCACAAGTGAGCGATCAGGTTGTCGATACCGTGATCATTCTCGAGGGTGGCTCTCACCGTCTTGAACTTGAGCTGCAGTTCCACAGGGAGGGTCTCGATCACTCGAGGGGCCTGGGAAGATAACGCGTGTCCTGTCCTCCTGGACCACGCTCGAAGGTTCTCTGAGCATAGTTCCAGGTGCTCCAGGCCGACGAAAGGGGGCGGGGGTCGGTAGTCCCGACCGCGTTCCTCTGAGGCTCTTCCAACCTCTCTCCAGTCGGCGTTCCAACCACCCCACATGTCATTGGCCCAGGCGTCCTGCTGCCAATGAGACCAGGCTGCAGACTCCCGCGAAGATTCCCAAGGCTCATGTCGCTCCCAAGCTCCTCGATCCCAGGGGTCCTCCGTCTGCTCGTCTGTCTGAACTGCGAAATCTTTCTGCCTTCCTTGGACGTCGTCCTCGTCCGTCGGCATGCCGACGGTCACGAACGCTAACGCCAGGGCACCAAGAATCAGGGCGTAGCCGTTGTCGAACAAACGCGTCGTCTCGACCACTGACCGCTCGTCACCACGAGCTCCGCTACCACTGTCACAGGGTCGACGGGCCAATGGAAAGACAAAGGGCTAGTGCGGAGATAAACTTGTTTATCGAAAGGCTCCACGCATCAACTCAGTGACTCCACGGAGTCGCATCCTAAGCCAAAGTGGCTATACAACGCAGGAGGGCACGAAGAGGGGAGAGACGGGGTAGAGAGATACCCCCTCAGGGAAGCAAAGGATGACAAGCTGTCGTGGGGCCGTCTTGCTGGACTGGGGGAGCTGCCTGGGACCGTCTCGAAGGGTTTCCGTGCTGTCTCTGGGTGGCGATGAGGCTGTCTTCAGCCTGTTGTGGGCCGAGGATGTGGGCCACGGCTCGAAAGATAACGGCGCCCGTTGCCACCGTCAAGATCCTGAACATGCTTTCGTAATCCATCGAATACTTAAATTCCTCTTTCATCGACATCCGCTTGAAAGTTATAGCATGGTTAGCTTTGAGGGTGGCATTAGGACTGAGACGGCTGGCGAAGAATCCCGGCGTCATGATCGTTAGAACTGCCCAATTAGCAACGAAGAACCCAACATAGGAAAAAACGAACTTCCCCAAATCCTTGTGCACTTTGGATCCAGAGCTGAAGAAACAGCACATGAATGGGAGTGACAAAATGACAACAAAAGGAGGGATAATGATCGGAAAGTTCCAATACAAACGACTTAACCAGTTGTCAACTGTCGCACTCCCCCCAGATTGTTTGTCTTGTTCGGCCATCGCATGCCCCTCATCGCACTTCGTTGATGAATCGTGGTCGGCCCTGCCGAAGCCCAGAATTCTGGACACATCGTTCTGCCAAAATTGGCTCGAAATATTCCATGTGCTGTTTCGATTGTTGCCACTTGACTTGTGACGGCGGCCCTTGGCCTCCTCTTCCCTTTTGCCAGTGTGATGATTCAATTTGCTTTTCGTCGTGTCACCATGACGGTCGCGGACCATCACAGAATTTTGCACAATTTCCAACTCCATCTGAGCATGCAACGAATCGTCGCGGGCACCTGATGAGCCAGTCGGCCAACATATGGCCAAAACGAGAATGCGCGCAACGTGCATCCACACAGTGACTCGGGGTGTCCAGATTTATTATGATATGTAAGGGGCGTCGCCGATGCCTGAAATGTTGCCTAAATGGCTTGAGCCAAAATGGCTACGGAAGAGGCTTTCGGCGGCATGTTGGGAGCCTTACCCGCCAGGATACTTACCCAAGACCGCTCTTGGCACCCTCCTGGCCCCCTCTTGAGGATCTCTTGAGACCCTGTGGGGGTCCTTTTTGGAATCCCTTGAGCCGTCTTGGAGCGATCTGGGAGGCCACTGGGGCCGTCGCAGGCTGCCGGAGGCACGAAGAATCGATAAAACGCGAATCTATCAAAAACCTACGGAAAGTCTACGTGTTGTGCGTATTTCGTCTGCTGTTCAGTCTGAGACCCATCGAGACCAGCCGAGCCCGTCTTGGGCCGTCGCGGGAGCCTCTGAGGCCGCCTCGGGGCCATTGTGGGCCTGCAACAGCACCACGGTCAGAACAAACCGCAGAGCCAAATAAATTGGGGTGCCAAGGGGGGGAGGAGAGTTTTGGGGGGGAAAAAAAGCCGCCCACGGGCCCAGCGATTGATGATGACGATGGCAATGGTGACGCTGACGATGATGATGATCGGTGGTAGTGATGAGGATGCTGATGACGGAGAGCGCGCACTCAAAGACCCTGGGAGGTGCTTCATTGAAAGACGATTGGCTTCTCATACAGTAGGGGCCCGTCCACAAGAAACCTTCCACAAGGAAACCAACCCCGAGACCCCAGATCGATGTTTGGTGTGGGAACGTCGCGCTCTCCATGGCAAAACCATCGAAACCCAAGAAGCCCAGGGCACCCTGGAGGCAAGCAGGGTGTTTCTTGGCGACGGCCTCCATTGTACGTGCGTGCGCACCTGCATCTCGAAATGCTTCGGCAACCAATGGTTGTTGGAAGCGTCTCGACGTGCGCGCGCGGGGGGCGCGCGCGCGTAGCCCGAGCGGCATCGTCTGGCGAGAGGCTCGCGGGCGCGTGCCGACTCTTGAGGCACAGCTCCGACGTGCGCGGGCGTGCAGCCGGCGTGCTCTCCCCTTGGCCGAATACCCAAGCAAAAACTGCGGCTCGTATGATGTCAGCGAGATGCGCGCGTGTTTCCCGTTCGGATCCATTCCGCCCACGTTGGAGCGCCGTGGCGCGGGCTGGCGCGCGTCGCCGTCATCCTCGTCGTATGATTGAGCATCGGGCCCTCCATGAATTGAGCTCAGTATGTCTAGGGTCGTGGGTGGGTGGAATACATCCACATCAACCAGGCAGGCTGATTGAAACAAGCTGTCGAGTGTGCGACAGCTTGCTCAGAGCATGGAAAGCGAGGATGTCGGAAGGAGTTTATACCATCTGCACGCACGTGTGGCCCGCAGCGTACGATTCCGAACAGATGCATTAGGAATGCACGCGTAAGATCAAAACGAGGGCTCCGCATAGCACTAGTTGGCAAGGATAGAGGGGGTTGTTGTTCATGAGCATGGCTGGGATGTTACGAACTCACGGTATGGATGGACGATCGCACAAGAAAGATATTACAACGACTACGCGAAGCTGGGTAGTCTTGCTTTGGCATGGGTGTGAAGTCTCATATGTTTCAGGCCAGAGAATATATGGGATGCTTTCTGTGTGGGGTTATCAATAAAGTGCCATAGGTGTGGTTCTGGCGCAAGACATTGCAAACTGTTGTGCGCTCTGTGGAGTGTCTTCTACACTGTCGTGCAATATCTGGATTGCGAGCCATGTTGAGCAAGCGCACGAGGCGCCCACGAGGAGCCCGCGGCACCGTGCGAAAACCTAAAAGGCCCAGCCATGGGCGGACACCAGGCGGAAACCCAGAAGACCCAGCCAGCACACGAGGCGCCCACGAGGCACTCATGGGCGGGCGCTGGGCGAGTACTCGGAAGATCCAGCGAGCGCGCGACGCGCCAACGAGGCGCCCACGAGGCGCCCACGGGCAGGCATCGGGGGAACAAAACATAAACATGATCCACCCGATTACTTCGAAGAAGGCGCAAAATCCCTTTAGTGCAGGCACGCTGCGGCACGCTGCGGGAACTTTCCACTACACGCTTAAACTAAGTGAGCATTCTCAAAACACTGCATCCTGGCCGCTCTGGTAAGACTTCCAACGCGAAGTGCCCATCCCATCACAGCCTCAGACCACATGTTTCGGCAAACACACGCTTGTGCAGTGTTGCTGGCTTCGTGTAGAGTGCACTTCAGATGCACTAGAAGGGATGACTCGGAGAAATGCTGCCTCGCTGTCTTGCTCTAGACTGACAGCTTCAGGCGCACGACGTCTAAACTTGCGTGAAATCAGGCCGCTCGCATTAGGACTAGAGTTTGTCGCTAGCAGCGTCCCCAATTGTCGGACTGCCAACTCGCGCCATGCCCCCTATTCAACAAAAACTACAGAAAAATGAGCTCAGGTTTGTCACGCACCCAATGGCCTCGAACGCATCCAACCGCTGCACGGAAGGGTAACCGGAACGTCCTGGGAAGGGGAGTTGAAAAAGCCATGTCGACATGACACCTCTGCCCGAGTGTATCCCCAACGACTCTGGCAGACAGAAGGCCAAACAAACCAATGGTGTCCTGTTCATCTCCTCATTCCGGAAGAGCCAATGGTGCCTCCGAGTTTGTGCAGAGAAGGTCCGCTTAGTCAAAGTCTACAGAGAAGCCCGATCAGTCCGTGGACAAACGAAACTTACAGCATATCGCTCGAGAAGTGAGGATGGAAAGAAAGCATCTGCCACGTCTGAACGACGGCGATCCCGTCAAGCTCTTCACGGATAGCGCAGGCGCCCCGTCCCCTCGCCGTCGCCGGCGAATGCATACTTTGGCAGCCCCTGGCGCCCGCGCGTGCCCCCAGGACCTGAGGGGCTCGAAGTCTGCAGCCGCGTCCTTGTGGCTGACCTGCCGCGGCCACGGCGGGGAAGGCAGGAGGCGGGACGCGGGAGGAGGGTCCCTCCCGGGCGGCACGAAGAGGAAGGGCGGCGAGAAGCATCTGCAGCGACAGCCGAATCCCAACAGCCCTTTAGGGCGTGGGTGGTCGAGGGCGCGTCCTCCTCCAACGCCCCTCTCTTTCCTTCGGGGGGGGCCCATCACTGGGCCGCTCTGGTATGCACCCCCTCCCACCACCTGAGCGGGGGGGCGAACCCAGAATCATGACAACACCCGCTCCCCACCCTCCCTGCTGAAACGCAACACAGAGTGCAGCTCGCGGCAGAATCTGGACCGTGCGCTGGCACCAAGCCATCACGTATCATGGTCCCCGGCCCTCCCATGTGGGGCTCCCGTTTCAAACAGAGCCCTGCGGTCGCGTCTCCTTTCCTCATCCCCACTCCTCCCGCCTCCTCCTGCGTTGGGTTTTCGTTTTGGATGGGGCACTGCGGTCGCACACCTCGTCCCACCCCCCTCCTCCTTCCTGCCTCCTCATACGCTGTTCCCTGAGTGGCTGCGAACTGCGCAACTGTCGCCACTTTCAAAGGCTCCTGGGGGGCACGGCGGAGTAGGGGAGTACCCGAGACCTCCCAGTTTCCCTCGGTGGCTGAGAACTGCGCAACTCTCGCCACTTTCGTAGGCCCATGGGAAGCACGGCGGAGTCGGGGAGTACGCGCATCCAGCCGAGACCTCGCATCTCCCTGGTGGGCTGCGATCTGCGCAAACGTCGCCACTTTCGTGGACTCCTGGGAGGCACGGCGGGGCAGGGGAGCACGAAGGCCGAGCCGAGACCTCGCGGCTCCCTCGGGGGCTGCGCAATGCGCAAGTGTTGCCACCGTCAAGGGCTCCCAGGAGGTGGGCCGGCTGAGCAGAGTGTCCCGGCAGCGTGTTATTACAGAGTTGCACACGGAGCGTTCCGTAAAATAGTCGACTCGCGTGGGGGGGTATGGGCACGCCTCGTGTAATTTGACAGGGGCGAGGTGCGGGGGGGGCGGCATTCTGCCTGCTGCGCGCATGCCCACCATCCCTGACACCACACACACACACACACACACACACACACACACAACACACACACAAAGCACAACTAGACCCTTTGTTTTACCTGCGCGAGAGGTCGCCCCGTGGCTAGGAAAAGAGGAAAACAGAAGGGGGAGCGAGAAGAGGAAAGGAGAAAGCAGCAGCAGCAGCAGCAGCAGCAGCAACCTGTCCTGCATCACGTGCGGGCGCCCCGTGGTCACCCTGCTGGCCAATGCCGAGTCTCGGGTGCTGCTCGTGTGGCGGGAGGGCGGGCGGGAGTGAGCGAGACGGCCGCCCTGCGGGGGCGGGGGGAGCTTGCTCCATGCCGCTGCCTCGCCCCCTGGGTCTGGACGGGCCGTGGACGGGGCCACTGGAGCGCCCCAAAGAACCCGGCATGGCGCCGACGGGGCCCCCGAGAGCGCAAGATGGCATCCGAGATGGTCCCAGCGCATGGAGGGCGGGTGGGAGTGAGCGAGACGGCCGTCTGTCGGGGGGGGGAGCAGCTGGATCACTGGTCTCCGTTAATAGACACCCCCTCCCCTCAGGCGACTGGCAGCCAGCCAGGTACAATGACGACCCCCCCACCACCCCTGTCAAAAATCAGTACCAGATACACTTTGGGGCAACTTATTGGGTCATCATCGTGGGCCCACCGAGCATTTTTCATTGTTTTCTGACAGTGACGGCGGGGGGGAGGGCATCAGATTTTCTGCTGTGCGCAGGGCCACCACTCGTTTCATGAAACAACACAACATTTAACTCGCGGCTGAATCTAGATTATGCGCGACCACCCCGTGGTCACGTTGCATTTGTTTTTGAATGCTGTTGACAAGGACGGGGGGTGCTGGCATATTGCCTGCTGCACAGAGGCCCACCAGACAGACACCATGATGGCCACCCCGCCGCGATTGCGCACTGGTTGTCGACAGGGACGGTGAGGGGGCGACATGCTTCCCGATGTGTGCTGTCACGTGCGCGGGCGCACCTGGCACACTCTGCGCGTGCCCCGAACGTGGCGCACTTGGCGCGGCTGGAACATGCGGCACGCACATGGCGCACAGGGGAGCACGTGGCGCATCTGACTCGACAGGCGTGCATGGTACGCTTGGGCCCCAGGGATGCCGCACCTGGCGCGCCTGGCACGCGTGGCGCACCTCGCCCCAGCATCGCGCACATGGGGTCTGCTTTTGGTTCACAGTAGCTGTCCATCCATAGACGACCGTTGAACACGCTGAGGTTCGGGTCTACTTCTGTGGTGGGAGAACGGGTGGGAGTGAGCGAGACAGCTTGCGGTCGGAGGGTGTCTTGACCCCTCCCCCTCCCTCCCCCTGGGTCTGGACGGAAGGGGCGGCGAGGTGTCAGAGGGCCCAGGAAGGTATCAGCGAGGAGGCACAAAACATTCATGATCCTTAGGTTTGGGAGCCTTTTGGGCCTCCTGGGGGGGCAGTGCTAATTGAGGCTCCCCCTTCGCTGATCGATCGCATCCAAGATGGCCCCAAGACGGCCCGAAGCCCTCCCAAGAGACCCCAAGAGGCCCCCAAGAGGCCCCCAAGAGGCCCCCAAGAGGCCCCCAAGCGGCCCCCAAGCGGCCCCCGAGAGGCCCCCAAGAGGCCCCCAAGCGGCCCCCACGAGGAACCCAAGACGCCCCAATTGGCCTCCCAAGCCTCCCCGAGAGACATTCTTAGAGACTCCGAGAGGTATCCAAGAAGCCTCTGCCCCACGGAGGCTCCCCGAGCTCTCCACATGATGGCATGCTCCCCCGAGAAGGGCAGCTCCCCTGGGCATCGTTCCTGGATGCGCTGCTTGGGATGCGCGAAGCGGTAAGAATCAGAAAGACCAGGAAGCTGCTTGACTTCATGGTGAGTCCTTTCTTTGCTGATAGGCATGTGAGCGTTTTCTAATTCGGCGTTTCGACATTAGGCGGAGGGAAGGGAAGTGGGGGGAGATGGTTCCGGACCTCTGCTTGGTGCAACTGTTTGCAGCAGTGCGTCCTATGGGGGGAGACTCCACCCGCTCGGAAAGGGCGCCAGAAATAGCCAAGATCTACTCCCTTGTGGGGGGGGTGCGAGGGCCCGCGCCAATTGGCAAAACAGTGAATGAGAAAACGACGACCTTCTATGAGACTGTGTTGGAGGTCCCAAGGCCACTCTGCTTGACTGACCCCTCTCCTCTCCACCTTCTCCCCCTCCTCCTCGTCCTCCTCCTCCTCCTCCTGCTCCTCCTCCTCCTGCTCCTCCTCCTCCTCCTCGACCTCATCCTCCTCCTCCTCCTCCGCCTCATCCTCCTCCTCCTCCTCCGCCTCCTCCTCCTCCCCTCCTCCTCTCCTCTCTCCCTCCTGTCTCCTCCTCCCCTGTCCTCCTCCTCCTCGTCCTCGTCTCCTCCTTCCTCCTCGTCCTCCTCGTCCTCTCCTCCTCCTCCTCCCCTCCTCCTCCTCCTCCTCCTCCTCCCTCTTCCTCCTCCTCCTCCTCCTCCTCCTCCTCCTCCCGCTCTCCCCCACCCCCCACCCCACCCTGTCTCCATCCCCATCCCATCATCTTGGGCACGGCCTGACCGACCCCTAACACACCATCCCCTTCCGTGACGTCATCCTTGCATTTCAAGCTCCCCTCCGGCCGCATACATTCGTCATGAGGCGAGGCGAGGGGGACGTCATGGAAGAGGATGATTTGCTAGGGGTCGGTTAAGCCGCCCCTGATCACCCCCCCTCTCCATCCTGCCCCCTCGCTCGGCCTCTCTCGGGCCCCCCAGCCGAGCACGGCGGGCCTGGTAGGTCACCACCGGCGGCAGAGCCCGGGGCTGCCCAACCCCGCCGGCGAGCATGGGCACCCCGCGAGGGGGCGACGCCGTGTCCCGCGTCACCTGCGCCGCGGGAGGAGGAGACTCTCTCCCATTCTCCGAGAGGGAGGCGAGGCAAGCACCAGGCCTAAGTCCCAGGAGAACAAGCAATGACGTTGACACAAAACTCGGAGGTTCGCGCGGATTCCTCTGAGGGGCGCTGGGACCCCCCGGCGGCGCCTCCAGCGCCACCCCTGGCGCGCTCTGCGCGCCAGGGAGGGGAGCCCAGCTGCACCGCCAGAATATGTCCACATCCACTGCTTCGGAGTCGCGCCCTGGAATTCCGACGGGTGGTGGATATGGATATTCTCCCGCCTTCAGCAGCGGGCAGATATCCACATCCAGCACTCCCCGAAGTCCCTGGGCACGACCCCGAAGCCGTGGATGTGGATAGATCCTGGCGGTGAACCAGCACCGATCCGAGATCTGGTGGAGATGAGGGTCGAGGGTGAGCCTCACCCTTGATCCTCATCTCCACCAGACCTTGGAGCGGAATCTCGGGGCAGAATCTCAACATCGCATTGGTTCGCATCGGCAGGCGGGGGAATCGAGGCGAATCGAGCCGGCGGAATCGGAATGGCCCCTGTGAGGTGCAGCTCTCTCTTCCTCTCTTGCCTTGCCATCCCATGCTGCTTCTGTTGCTGCAGACATCCGCCGCCTACTGACGCCTCGAGCTGTTGCTCCCGTGGCCTGCCCAAGATCAAGACCTCCTCCGAGAGGGAGACGAGGCAAGCGCCAGACCACTGTCCACCCCAGGGAGTTGCCAAGCAATCTTGCCTCAGGGCCGTGATCGACCAGAGGGCACGCCGCTGCGACGGTGCAGCTTTGCCACCAGATCGCGAAACTCGCACTCATCACCTCTGAGGGGGATGAAGAGGAGCCTCTTA